TGGCTTGGTCTGGGATCAAGCACAGGTAATGGATAGAAAGCATAAGTTTTTCCTCTGTACAGGTTAGTTCGGAACTCACCAGAGACAAAAGGGCCCTTGATGCGGGTTGTGAGCTTACATATTTAGGCCACAATACAAACTAATTCTCAACTTTCAATAAACAATTATAATATAGGCATTCTGGACAGGCCCCAGGGCCCAAATCTCCTGGGCTGACTGATGGCTGCAGACTGCCCAACAATTTGCAGATGCATCTTTACACATATATTCAGCACATGTACAATACACAGGTATTCATAAAGATAACCATATATCAGGGTATAACAGATTGCAGTAAACTGCGGTTGACTTACGGCTGATAAAGATTTCTGAATTTATTCAGTTCATAATCTGTCATGTTCTGTAAAATACAAGAAGAAAGCATAAATCCAATGTGCATGAAATGTGCTCAATAAAGAAAGAAACTCATTCAATTAAAGAAATTCATTCAGCAGAAAAGTATACTAATTTGGAGGTTCTGCTATCATGCAGGCATAGCTGAAGTACACCAGACCATTCCATTGTTTAAAGAGACCCTGTAACTAAATCATTTATTTCAACAACAATTTTAAGATTATATGTGCATTTAACATATTTTATTTATGGTTTTCAACTGTGAAAGCCTCTCTTGTATAGACATCCAATATCCCTGGGACTGCTGCTGGGCAACACCATCTTGCATGTGATTTCAGCTGCCCAAGCAGACACACAGCTGTCACTCAAGTGACACTCTATAGTATTCCCCTTTGTGACTCCTTTGGCAGCTACATGAAAAGTTATGTAGAGAGGTGAGGAGCAGAGGAGCTTGGCCAGCACAGACAGTAATGAAATGCTCCTGAAAGAAAAGAGGCAAGGAGGGAGGGGATTATGCTAAGGAATTAACTGATCCTGGAGAAAGAGGTTTGAAAATTGTTTATGAATAGGAAAAACACTGCAAGCTAACATTGAAAATACTTGTTTTTTTCTGTGCTTTTACTGTGATGGGCTCTCTTTAAAACTGTTGGTACCTGGTATTCTAAGAACACCTCATACTGAGCCCTGTGACTGTACATGACAGTTTTTTTTCAGGCCTGCCCTTTTTAGTCTACATTCCTCACATATAGAAAAGGGACAACTGAAGATACATTGATATTCAAGAGCACTTGGGGTAGGTTTCTGAATTAGGTCATATGAAATAATACAGAATTCAAGAAACTCTTCCGACTTGAGCCATCCATACATGGATCAAAATTTGGCTGGTCCAGAAGGGACTAGATGAATTTTGATCCATTTATGGGGACAATGGTTGTACAGAAGTCGATCTACCAATCAACTTCTGTACAACCACCCTATCGGATAAAAGCCACTCAATCAGCACTGCAACTCTGATCAGTGTATTCTGACAATGGGGAGGTCTCCCCACCATCAGGACACAATAGCTCAGTAGGAGTGATTCCCCCATCCACACTGAGTTCCTGGTTGAACGAAAAAAAAAAAAAAAAAAAATTGACTAATGTATGGACTGCCTTAAAGTCCAAAATAAAATCTACCCTTGTTGTAGTCTGTGAGGGCAAAGCCTTGGCATCCTCACAAAAAGTACAGGTATATAAACCCTGTATTGTATGCTTTGGAGGCTGGGGTGAGATTGGTTGCAGTTTACAGAGGAGTGGGGGGCTGGTTGTAGTGCTGGAGGGACCCTGCTGGAACAAGGCAGGTAAGTATTTTCCCCTTAATTCTCTGCCCCTAGACATAACAAGCAGTTAACACTTGGTGGCATGTAATCCAAGGGTGGAATTTTTTATTTTCATTTGGTTCAGCTTTATCACAGTTACCTTGTTAACTGAATAAACCAAATAATTTAGGTTTTTGGAGATAGCTTTATGTATGACCAGCTGAACGAACTTCTACTATTACAGTAGAAAATGCACATATGTTTGTATGTAATGTAATGCATTAAAGGTAGCGCTGCATTTAAAGATCCAGTTGCTCTAGGCACCTTTGAATAGTCCTTTTTTAACATCTCTGTGCCCAAATACAAATACACAGAGATACTATACAACTTTGTATAGTTCAGTAGAGCACTAGACAAAAAAAAAAAAATGAAAGAGGGTTTCATGTTTCCTGATCCATAAAGAACTTTTGGAATGATTTGGATTCCCAAGTAATGGTATCAGTATAGCAGCATAGCAGCAAGCAGAAACATAGTCAGAGATCAAGCCGAAGGTATTAGGTGAAGAGAAATAAAGAGTGGCTGGTGAATCTTCAGTCCAGGGTAGAGTTAGATAAAGATGAGTGTCAGGGGTGTATGTACAGGGGTTGCAGGGGTCACAATTACAACCCGAACCCATGCTCCAGGGGGCCTGTGCAGCCTCCTGTACACCTGGATAGGAGGAGTGGCATATAGAGGAACCGATCCCCTCCATTTTCCTCCTGCAGCCGCTGAAATTCTGCAGGAGGAAAATGGAGGGCATCAGTTCTTCTATGTGACGTCCTGCCACCCCTACTATCCACCTCCTGTTGCCCTGGGCTCCTGTGTACTCCCTCCCCCCCACAGCGGTGCCGGATTCCCCCCTACCCTCTCCTGCCGGCTGCTGTAGATGGATCTCTGTAATTTACCATCCCCTTCTTGTCTTAATGAATAGAGTCAGTGATTTGTATTGATCACTAACTCTTTTCATTCATAAAAGAGGCATAGTAAACTGTGTTTCCTATGCTTCAGTTTATGAATTAACGGGAAGCTCTGTACAGAGCTATTCTGTGCAGCTCAGGCCATAGAGAGGGCGAATAAGATCTGTGTCCTTAATCTCCTTTCTCTGTCTCAAAGGTGAAATATCAGAGGTGTGCTTAGAGCCCTGATATTTCACCAAAGCCCCTCAACAGGACTCCTAAAGAAATGGTAAAAACTAACATTTCTAAAAAATAAATAAATATTAAAAAACAAAATGGTAAAGAATAATAAAAAAATAAAACAAAAATAAAAAAATACTGAAACCAGTGACAGAACTACCAGGGTTGAGGGCCCCGATTTTCCGCCAATGTGGGGGGCCCTTTATGGTTTCTTGCACTGGGGCCCTGAATGTTCTAGTTATAACTCTGACAGTTAAAGCAGTAGCAAGATACTAGCATAAGCATAATAACGTGGCAAACTGGAAATATAGAGACATGACTTAAATAGGAAGTTCAAGGGAGGACAAGCAGTTCAGATTTTGGCAAGAAAGGAATTAATGAAGATTGACCAAGAGATCAAGCAAGTTACTATTTATAACTTTGGTTGGCTCAGGAGGAAGAGAATTTGGCAGACACAGCAGAAGCCCTGAGTTTGAATCCAATTCCTAACGACCTTCGGACTCCTCTCAGCAGTTCCTCCGCCCTTTTCTATCTACAATTCTCCTACTGAATATAGCCACTAATGACTAGAGAACATATAAGAAAAAGGTTATCAACAATTGTAGATCTTTGGGTTTGGTGTTTTGGCACTGGCCCACAAGCACCATTATGGCAAATACTGTACATTCCCAGCTAAAGGTTAAAAAGTGAAAATCTTGGCAGTATGTTGAATTTTCCATGGTCACCCTATGCATAAGCAAGTTCCGTGTTTTACACTCAGAACTTGTTGTACAGAACAGTTGTATGACAAAGGAATTATTGAATCTGGAAGGAGAGTTATGTCAGCAGAGATTTGCATACTATGTAGGGAAAATTATGCAAACTTTAAAACACCTACGTGCTTATCTTCTGAAAGGTCTGGCTCTTGTCTCTATGTCTTTATCTCATTTCTTATTCTCTGAAGGACTCACTACTATATGGTTCTGAAAATGGAGAGCTCTATAATTTTGAGGACTAAAATGTTGTTTCAAATTAAAATTCCAGTTGAAGGCTCCCAGTGTCTGTCCTGAGCTGTTCCCTGGTCACTATGTTAAATGTTTTTGAAAACCAAAAGCCACATTAAAAAAAATCTCCAACTAGGATAAAAATCACCATCATATACTGTATCCATAAAATTGCACTTGGGACTCATCATCTGTGTATTAGATTACAAATAATTTTTCCTATCTGTAGCTGACGACACTTTTCTAATTGACGACGTAAGTATAAGAAAATCAGTGGAAGTGCCACAAAAATGCTCATAGATTACAGAAAAGATATTGATTCTATCTTGTTGAAATTATATATTATACCAACACATTTCTGTGCTTTAGACACTCTCCCTTTAAAAGTCCATGTACACAAAGGACATAACAATCATGTAAAAAGAGTAGCTCATGATATCTAGACAGGTAGTTGTAGAAAAATGTTAACCCTTTGAGCAATGATTATGAACTATTATAACACATTTATGGACTATTTTTTGTAAAGCACCACGTTATGCGTAATGGAAGCTTATGTTCAGAGCCTGTGGATTTATCTTTCTTTAAATAAAAAATTCCAGGTATGGATATATTATACATAATTACATAACTCCAGCTTGGACCTGGCCTGATGGCCTTGGAAGCTGGAAATTCAGTGATCTCCATTTGCTTCCAGGTTCCGTGCTGAGTGGCTGGCCTAGAACATTGTGAACACAAGAGGTCGTCCACTCAGCACAGGTACCATTGAACGAAGTGGAGAGCATGACATCACTGCCTCGCGCCTCTCTGCCTTATCCAGTCAGAGAACACTTTGCATTAATTTAGAAAATGCAAGGAATATTCTGAATGGTACCTGTGCTGAGTGGCTGACCTCCTGTGTTCAGAAAGCAGAGGTGCAGAGACCTAGAAGCAAGTGATCACTGAAATAGTGTTGTCTACTACAGTGCCAGGTAGTATATACATAGTTATATTGGTCCATTATATTGGTATATATTATATGCAGTTTAAGGGCTCCTGCTCAGGCATCCAAAGTCCTGTGAGGTGGAAGCCGTTAAATGGGTGCAGGCTGGGAGTGAGGCCATTTAGAATCAGGATACACTGTGGAGATAAAGGGTATTCCCCCATGGAGCCTACCTCCATGATTAAGACCCAGGGATGTGTTGGGACCAGGGGCGAACTGACCATTTGGAAACTCAGGCACTGCCTGAGGGCCCGGGGTCAGTAGGGGGCCCCATGAGATGCCCCTGGTACCTTTTTCATAGGCTTTTTTGAGTTTGGGCAAGGACACAGGGGCCCCATGATCCCCTATTGCTCGGGGGGCCCCAGGAGTTGTCAGTCCGCCCCTGCTTGGGACATGGCTTCTAATGGATGTATATTATAGCCATAATAATAAGTTGTGATAAACAAAATAACCACAAATAATAGCGCAATCCTAAATTAAATCAATAAATTAATTTGCACAAATATATATAACCACCACAAAATATGTGCAGATTAATAGTGCAATAACATAAATAAGGGATCTCAATATAGTCCATTCAAAAAAGTCGATATATCAATGATCCTCAATCAATGAAGTACTGAGATCCTCCTTCATCAAATGTGATATTCAGTGCTCAGAACACCCCATCAAAATGCACACTCACCATGTGCAAGTAATTAACCAGCATATTAGTATATATCCAACATTCACCAAACAGACTCCAAAAGAAGATCCTCATGTGTTGGTAATCAATCAGCATATCAATATATATCCGGTATTCCACCAAACAAACTCCAAAAGAAGATCCTCTCATATCCAAATTAGCACATGTGGGTAAAGAAAGAACTCGCCATAGTGTAATATTATCCAACAGATTTATTGTAAAAAACCCCCCTTAAAATCACACTCACAATAAGTAAGTAAGAGTAAAGCATTTGTTACATCAGGGCTCAGAGCCCTGTATCCAGCGTCTCACCAGCTTGCCTGCACTCAAGATGGCGGTAGTGCGATCACGTGATCTGGACACATGCGTCGGCGTGCGTGGAGACGTCACCGGCTAGCCACACCCTAACGGGTTTCGCCCAATGACTTCTTCCAAATAATTCTTGCCTAGAATTATTCTCTAAGCAAAGTGTCTGGCCAAGAAAACGATACTTATACTACTATGAGGCGCCCAACAAACAGAAACTATCATTCAATGAGTCCCTGTGCATTGTATCTTATTAACAAAGAAAAAACTGGTCACCTACCCAGGTCTATAGCTGGCTTTTTAAACAGTGAACATGGAAGGCGTCAAAGTAAAAAATAGGACTATCCAGTTCAACTTGCCAGCCTACCCCACTTTAATAATGGCTATTGTTGGCAAGGAACATGGATAAGTATAACTTATCAAATGAGGGGGATAAGAAAGCCAGTTCAAACTGCCAGCCAGTTAGCCAACTTTCAAAAACCAAATTAACTTGTTTCAAAACATGCGTTTAAAAACAGGGGTTTAGTTAGCACACATTTGCAAATACATACGTAAGCCACAGAGCCACATCACGGCACCCTGAGTATCTGTGGTCCTAACTCTATAAATCTTGGAGAGTCCTCACAATGGAGGCACATGCATTTAAATGGATAGAAACAAGGGCAGGTGAACCTGAGGGAGCCCACCCCTCATTAAGGTCATGGGAGCGCACCTGACACCCAGCATGTAGCACAACGGCAGCCAGGGTGTCCAATGCACCCACTGAACCTCCAAAATTAACATACAAAGAAAAAACTCTCAAGATTTATAGAGTTAGAACCACAGATACTTAGGGTGCCGTGATGTGGCTCTGTGGCTTACGTATGTATTTGCAAATGTGTGCTAACTAAACCCCTGTTTTTAAACACATGTTCTTAGACAGGTCAATTTGGTTTTTGATAGTTGGCTAACTGGCTGGCAGTTTGAACTGGCTTTCTTATCTCCCTCTTTTGATAAGTTATACTTGTCCATGTTCCTTGCCGACAATAGCCATTATTAGACTGGGGTAGGCTGGCAAGTTGAACTGGGTAGTCCTATTTTTTACATTGTTTCTTGTTCCCTTGTGGGTACCCTATACAACGGTGAGCACAGCTGATAAAACTATTCTGCTCCCTTCTGTAGCTGTGTGTTTTCAAGCAGAGATATTTGACTTATTAACTTTAATAAATCTGCTATTTGTGCGTGTGTTTACATAGGAAGTACGAGTAGGAATCAGAGTCAAAGGTTGTAGCAAACAGATGCAGCTTCAAAGTGAAGTCAGCAAAATCACCAGTAAAACGGTCTAGCAGTGGAAGTGCAATCACAACCAATAAGAAAGCATTCACTCATCGCTAGTCATGACTGATAAGTAGGGGAGTCTCAGCATTTCCAGCTTCTTGTCTCTTGGGAAATCTACAGTATCTTGACCAGTTGAATGAAGGCTAAGAGATGCAGTGCTCCTGGAGAGAATGGACTCTGGGGAAATGGTAAAGTGATTTTTTATGTTTTAACAAAACATAATAAAGCAATTTTAAGAACGTCTATTTCTGTTGAATTGGAAGGCAAATAAAAATGCATTCTGAAACAACAGATTGTGCCTATAGACAGTTCAACCATTTATATTCAGAGTATAGACTTGTAGGTCCACAGACCTTTGCTGACATTCCCTGGCTGAGTTTTACTAAGCAATCTTGTGGGACCAGGCAGTTGGTTAAAAGTGTTATAAACCTTCCTGAACCTGAACCTTGTATTTATAATCTGCCTAAGATGTGCGTTGATCATGTAGTTCCAATGGTGTAGTTGTTGCTCTGTATGCACAGACTATAGGGTAGAAAATCTTCACATTCCTGTGTCAGAAATTTTTGCTTGTGTTCAAATTTGCTCAGTTTAATGCAGTCTGAGAACTGACACATTCTGTGATGAAACTACATATCCCACAACCCCTGGGTCTCTCAGTCTAGCATAGGTGCAGGTCAAAGCTACACAGTACTTATATCAGACACAGCTACAAACAGACAGAGCAATCATTCTGGAAGACATGTTTTAATTTTATTAGCACTCTCATATTTGTGATGTAGCACAGAGAAATGGTGAGGCATGGATTAGACGCTGTGTGACCCAGAAAATGAAGTTGCCTGTCCGTTTACTGACTAGGGGCAAGCTAGGTGAATGAATGCATGGACATAGTGGAATCGGTCAGCAATGACACTACAAACTGCAGCCACGACATGTTAGTCCATTATTGCAGGGTAAGACAAACAAACAATCAACACAAAGGATATAACTACACTAAGACCTTGTACAACACAAACATTTCAAAGTGTACAATGCTTATAATAAATACGTTGTAAAAATAATTTGCAATATTTTTAAATCTGCGGCTTCCATAAATTAATATTACAAGTAGTGAAGTGCTATGGGTGCAAAGACCACACATCAATAAATTATAAACACTACTTAAATAATTGTATATATATATATATATATATATATATATATATACACACACACACATATACATACATACACACAGTTATGTGCAAAATAATAGCAGTCAGACATCACTAACCTGATCAATCACTGTATTTGGTAGAAATGATATTTCTACATGGCAAATAATTTACTAGCAGGTGTAGTAGAGTAATAGAAATCCAACAGACCCAACAGTCATGACATGCATGCTGCTGATTCTGTGTAATTGAATCACTAATTGAAGGGGGCATGTTCAAAATAATAGCAGTGTGGAGTTCTAGTAGTGAGGTCATTCATTCTTTGAAAAACAGGTGGCAATTATTGCCCTTATTTAAGGAAGGAAGGCCGCAAAATGTTGTACATGCTGGTTACAGTGCATTTCTCTCTGAAATTCTGAGGAAAATGGGTCGTTCCAGACATTGTTCAGAAGAGCAGCTTACCTTGATTAAAAAGTTGTTTGGAGAGGGGAAAACATATAAAGAAAATGATAGGCTGCTCAGCTAAAATGATCACAAATGCTTTAAAATGGCAACCAAAACCTGAAAGACGTGGAAGAAAGCCAAAAACTACCATTCGAATGGATAGAAGAGTAGCCAAAATGGCAAGGACTCAGCCAACAATCAGCTCCAGGAAGATCAAAGAAGGTCTAAAGTTACCTGTGAGTACTGTTACAATTAGAAGACGCCTATGTGAAGCCAAGCTATCTGCAAGAAGCCCGCGCAAAGTCCCACTGTTGGAAAAAAGACGTGCTGAAGAGGTTACAATTTGCCAAAGAGCACATTGACTGGCCTAAAGAGAAATGGCGCAACATTTTGTGGACTGATGAAAGTAAGATTGTTCTTTTTGGGTCTAGTGGCCGGAGACAGTTTGTCAGACGACCCCCAAACACTGAATTCAAGCCACAGTACACTGTGAAGACAGTGAAGCATGGTTGCGCAAGCATCATGATATGGGGATTTTTCTCTCATACTGCGGTGTTTGGTCTATTTATCGCATACCAGGGATCATGGATCAGTTTGAATACATCAGAATACTTGAAGAGGTCATGCTGCCTTATGCTGAAGAGGAAATGCCCTTGAAATGGGTGTTCCAACAAGACAACGACCCCAAACACAGCAGTACACGTGCAACATCTTGGTTCCAGACCAACAAGATTGACGTTATGGAGTGACCAGCCCAATCCCCAGATCTTAATCCAATAGAAAACTTGTGGAGTGACATCAAAAATGCAGTTTCTGAGGCAAAACCAAGAAATAGACAAGAACTGTGGAATGTAGTCCAATCATCCTGGGCTGGAATACCTGTTCACAGGTGCCAGAAGTTGGATGACTCCATGCAACACAGATGTACAGCAGTTCTCAGAAACAGTGCTTATACAACTAAATATTAATTAAGTGATTCAAAGGAAAGCAAAATCTTCAAACATTTTTCAGTTTATATAGTGAATGTTTGAGTTTGTAAAGAAGTATAAAAACACTGCTATTTTTTTTGAACAGTCTAATATTCACTTTTCTTCAGTTTTTTTAGAGGAACAACACAAATTTGATATATTTTTCTTCATGTTTTGATTTGGAATAGAATGTGTAATGTTCCCAATGCATTTGTGTGTATGGAAATAAAAGCTATTAGAAGGATTTTGAGCTTTATTCACTTTTTTCAACACACTGCTATTATTTTGAACACAACTGTATGTGTATATATATGTGTATATATATATATATATATATATATATATATATATATAATAAAAAAATATTAAATCTGTTGAGATATGATAAATCCACGGGTGGATCAAACCTCAATACATCT